ACTTGGCTGAACGGAATTCTGCTGTTGTACAGGTACGAGTGTCATGCAGTGACAGGGCTTCAAATATTAACAACATGGCTAATAATATATCCCACCTTTTCATGGATAATGGCATGATGAGCGATGAGGCGGCTGCGAGGTCTAGTTTGGAGAGGACAGTTTGCCGGGGAGGACGTGTCGTGGACCAGAAAGGCGCAGAACACGATGAGAGCTTAGTTGATGAAGAGATTCTTTCAGTATCAAGAGGTTCTGTCAATTTGTTTGGGGACCATTTTGACACAAAAGGTTTACATTTTGTGCACTTAAATATAAGGAGTTTGTTACCTAAGATTGGTGAATTAAGATGCTTACGTAAGAATTGTAAAGTGGGGATTTTTTGCTTAATAGAAACATGGTTAGACTCGTCTGTAACTAATAATGAAATAAAAGTAGACAATTATAATGTTATTAGGAAGGATCGCAATAGACAAGGAGGAGGTGTTTGTATTTTTATTAGATCGGATATTAATTTTAATGTGTTAGACATTAATGTTGAGCAAGAGTTATTGTTCTTGGATTTATTGTTGCCTGCGACTAAGCCTATATTGTTTGGAGTTTGTTATCGTTCACCCAGTCAAAACAATTTTTATGAGGGACTGGAGTTTGTTTTGAACAACAATAACAATGATCTGGCAAAAGAATGTATTATTATGGGGGATTTTAATACAAATGTAACTAATAGAAAAGGGGACGATTTTAAAGCTTTACAGTCATTATGCCAATTATTCCATTTAACCCAAATAATAAACAAATCTACTAGAGTTTGGGAAGGTGGGGATAGTACCATCGATCTTATTTTGGTATCTGATGAAAAATATATTTCCCAGAAAGGAGTAATTGAATACGGTATTAGTGATCATAGTATCATTTTTTGTAAAAGAAAACGTAGTAAAATAAAATTTAGATCAGATCGTTAAAAAATATAATATTGAAGTTGTTAAAGACTATCTTAAAAGAGTTAATTGGAATTATATTCAAAATATCTCAATAGTTGATGATGCTTGGAAAAATTTTAAAGTTTTATTTCTTAAAGTAGTGGACAAAATTGCCCCCCTTAGACAGGTGAGAGTTAAGCAAAGAGCTAGTCCTTGGATGGATCAGAAAATATTGGAAATATAAAAAAATAGGAATAGGGCTCTCTCGATTTATAGGAGAACTAAGAATCAGGAAGACTATTTAAAATTTAAAGCACTTAGAAACTTAGGACAGAAAAATATAAAGGAGGCAAAACGTAATTTTATTAAGGAACAAATTCAAGAAAACAAAGAAGATCCTAAATCTCTGTGGAAGGTGTTAAATAGGTTCCATTCAATTGGTAAATCGAAATTTACTGTATCAAAGGTAGGTCTAGATATTGATGGCAAGATAGAATTTGATAAAAATAAAGTTGCTAATTTAATTAATTCTTTTCATTAATTGCTAATAGTCTACTTGATAAGCTTCCTCTGTCCAAAGGAAATTATGGGATTGATTTTGTTAAGAGATTTTATTTAAAACAAGGGGTGTTGCCAAATAGTTTATCTTTTGCTAAAGTTAATGTAAATCAAATTACTAAAATGCTAGAAGAGCTTCAAGTGTCTAAGTCAACTGGGCTGGACGATATTCCAGCTAGATTCTTAAGAGATGCTGCAGATATTATAGCTCCAACTATTACATTTATTGTTAATCTTTCCTTGGAAAATGGTATATTTCCATCTGATATTGCGAGGTCTAGTTTGGAGAGGACAGTTTGCCGGGGAGGACGTGTCGTGGACCAGAAAGGCGCAGAACACGATGAGAGCTTAGTTGATGAAGAGATTCTTTCAGTATCAAGAGGTTCTGTCAATTTGTTTGGGGACCATTTTGACACAAAAGGTTTACATTTTGTGCACTTAAATATAAGGAGTTTGTTACCTAAGATTGGTGAATTAAGATGCTTACGTAAGAATTGTAAAGTGGGGATTTTTTGCTTAATAGAAACATGGTTAGACTCGTCTGTAACTAATAATGAAATAAAAGTAGACAATTATAATGTTATTAGGAAGGATCGCAATAGACAAGGAGGAGGTGTTTGTATTTTTATTAGATCGGATATTAATTTTAATGTGTTAGACATTAAAGGAACCCTACCTTTTCATGGATAATGGCATGATGAGCGATGAGGCGGCTGCGAGGTCTAGTTTGGAGAGGACAGTTTGCCGGGGAGGACGTGTCGTGGACCAGAAAGGCGCAGAACACGATGAGAGCTTAGTTGATGAAGAGATTCTTTCAGTATCAAGAGGTTCTGTCAATTTGTTTGGGGACCATTTTGACACAAAAGGTTTACATTTTGTGCACTTAAATATAAGGAGTTTGTTACCTAAGATTGGTGAATTAAGATGCTTACGTAAGAATTGTAAAGTGGGGATTTTTTGCTTAATAGAAACATGGTTAGACTCGTCTGTAACTAATAATGAAATAAAAGTAGACAATTATAATGTTATTAGGAAGGATCGCAATAGACAAGGAGGAGGTGTTTGTATTTTTATTAGATCGGATATTAATTTTAATGTGTTAGACATTAATGTTGAGCAAGAGTTATTGTTCTTGGATTTATTGTTGCCTGCGACTAAGCCTATATTGTTTGGAGTTTGTTATCGTTCACCCAGTCAAAACAATTTTTATGAGGGACTGGAGTTTGTTTTGAACAACAATAACGACGATTTCGCAAAAGAATGTATTATGGGGGATTTTAATACAAATATAGCTAATAGAAAAAGGGATCATTTTAAAGCTTTACAGTCATTATGCCAATTATTCCATTTAACCCAAATAATAAACAAATCTACTAGAGTTTGGGAAGGTGGGGAAAGTACCATCAATCTTATTTTGGTATCTGATGAAAAATATATTTCCCAGAAAGGAGTAATTGAATACGGTATTAGTGATCATAGTATCATTTTTTGTAAAAGAAAACGTAGTAAAATAAAATTTAGATCAGATCGTTAAAAAATATAATATTGAAGTTGTTAAAGACTATCTTAAAAGAGTTAATTGGAATTATATTCAAAATATCTCAATAGTTGATGATGCTTGGAAAAATTTTAAAGTTTTATTTCTTAAAGTAGTGGACAAAATTGCCCCCCTTAGACAGGTGAGAGTTAAGCAAAGAGCTAGTCCTTGGATGGATCAGAAAATATTGGAAATATAAAAAAATAGGAATAGGGCTCTCTCGATTTATAGGAGAACTAAGAACCAGGAAGACTATTTAAAATTTAAAGCACTTAGAAACTTAGGACAGAAAAATATAAAGGAGGCAAAACGTAATTTTATTAAGGAACAAATTCAAGAAAACAAAGAAGATCCTAAATCTCTGTGGAAGGTGTTAAATAGGTTCCATTCAATTGGTAAATCGAAATTTTCTTTATCAAAGGTAGGTCTAGATATTGATGGCAAGATAGAATTTGATAAAAAATAAAGTTGCTAATATATTTAATTCATTATTTTCATTAATTGCTAATAGTCTAGTTGATAAGCTTTCTCTGTCCAAAGGAAATTATGGGATTGGTTTTGTTAAGAGATTTTATTTAAAACAAGGGGTGTTGCTAAATCGTTTTTCTTTTGCTAAAGTTAGTGTAAATCAAATTACTAAAATGCTAGAAGAGCTTCAAGTGTCTAAGTCAACTGGGCTGGACGATATTCCAGCTACATTCTTAAGAGATGCTGCAGATACTATAGCTCCAACTATTACATTTATTGTTAATCTTTGCTTGAAAAATTGTATATTTATTTAACTGGGAGAGTTTAGAGAGTAGAAATTGATGGGGTTCTTTCTGAGGAAACTTTTGTTAAAAATGGAGTCCCTCAGGGAAGTGTTTTAGGCCCTCTTTTGTTTCTTTTATATATTAATGACATGCAAGCAATTTGTGATTGTAATTTGTTTTTATATGCTGATGATTCTGCTTTGTTACTTTCAGATAAGGATGTTGGTAGGATACAACTGCATTTAGGTAAGGAGATTTGTAAGGTAAGTCAAGTCAAGTAAAGTCACCTTTATTTATATAGCGCTTTTAACAATACAGATTGTGTCAAAGCAACTGAACAGCATTAATTAGGAAATTAATTCCTAATTAATAAGGTAAGAGAGTGGCTCTCTGAAAACAAACTGATGTTGCATTTAGGTCAAATGGAATCCATATTATTTGGGTCTAAAAATAATTTGAATAAGGTTTCTAAGATGTCTGTTAAGGTGGGGGATTGTTTAATATCAAATAGAACTTCTGTTAATTATCTTGGATGTGTCCTTGACAATGATTTAAGTGGTGTAAGTATGGCTATGAAAGTTCTGGGTAAGGTTAATGCTATGACAAAATTTCTTGCCAGACATGTTAGTTTTCTTGATAAACAGAATATAAAATTACTTGCATCATGTTTAGTGTCATGTCATTTCGAATATGCATGTATTTCTTGGATGTCTGATTTGTCTCGTGGTTGGTTGGATACGTTACAAAAATCTCAGAATAAATTGATAAGGTTAGTTTCAGGGTTTAGTCGTTTTACACATGTGGAGGTTTCCCATTTTAAGTGTCTAGATTGGTTACCTATAGAAAGCAGACTAGAACATATTAAATTAAAACTGGTACATTAGATTATCAATAATAGATCTCCTTCATATTTTAATGTATTTTTTTCTAGGGTAAATGAGCAACATTGTTATAAAACTAGGCAAAGTCTTATGGATATTACATTATGCCATTTTAAAACTATGTATGGTCATAGGTCTTTTAGATATTCTGGGGCACTTCTGTGGAATAAGTTACCTCTGGACATTAAATCTGTTGTGTTTGTCTGTGATACCTTTTGTCTGCATAATTTAAGTACCTTGTGCTCTAATCTTTAAACTGCAATTGTCATCTTTTGTGTATGTATTGTGACATACTCAACAGATTATGAAGCCAAGAGAACATGCTGTTTTTTTCCTTGATCCTCTTTATGGCATTACATTCAGCCAGGAAGAATACATACGCATCTACAGGTTTTACAGGGCACTGTTGGAAGTTCAGATATTGCGGTCGTTCCTAACCGCATTTTGATAAGATTGTGGTTGTTCTTAACCACATGTAGGATTTTATGTGACTTGTTCATTCAACTTAATTTTAGTGACTTATTGAAAGGGTTTTGAAGTTAGTCAAGTGTCAATGAAAACAGTCGTAATACTATTGGTTCTGCCCCATATTTCAGTTCTCGTGTTTTCTTTGGTGCAGTATTGTAAGTGTTTTTAAGTATTGGTGTTTGCTTTGGATTTGTCACCACAGAAACATTGCACAAATCCTGTCTCCTGGGCCTTGGCGTGAATACTGTGTCAACGATATTACGGTACCATTGTTTATTTGAATAACTGGAAAAACACTGGAAAATCTTAGACTTTACAAGGTAGTTTAAACTTGCATGGTAACATCAACAGGGCCTTCCACGACAACATCTCAGCAACAGCTGTGGTGTCTTTGTCCTGATGGTAAGTTTATAGAGCTGTTGTGTTGCTTACTACTTGATTTTTAACCAATAAATGTATCTGTGTACATGTGTTTAATGTTTACCATTTCAGTATTCACTGTACTTTGTGACATCAGGGGCCTTTGATTTTACAGAGGTAAGTGAAATCTGCAATGGTAACCCCCATATTTTTAAAAAGTAACCAACTCACTGAGTATATCTTTTTATCTCAGACTGACATAAGTGCAGCCTTGGTGATCATGAGACTTAAAAAAAAATTACAAAATCTTACTCACCCCAAACTTTTGTGTACATGTAATATTTATTTTAAATTGGCTCATTTGTGCAAGTACATTTATTTAAACTGGTTGTTAAAAGTTCAAATGGATTGTGTTATGTTCTGTAATTGCTGTTAATATGTTATATTCTGTAATTGCTGTTAGTAAATCTGTCAGAAAAATATATGCAAAAGTTTCACCTTTAGGGGTACAACAGCCTGGCAGCCTTTTACAAAAATTAACCATGGTTTTAATACAGTAACCACAGTTTACCACAGTGTTTGTAGGAAAACTGCAGTAATAACAAATTTACCATGGTAATAATGATAATAATACATTTTAGTACTTATGTAACACCATGTTTATTTTTCATGAGGTACCCTCATAGGTGCACATTTGTAACTTATCTAACTAATATGCTCCCTTTTAGGGGTATAGTAGCACCTTTGAGGTTATTGCCCCAGTAAAGGGCTAAAATACAATTATAGTATATTTTATTTCTGACAGTGTAAACAAAAAAGGCCTATGAAATGTTATCTTATTAATCATTTATGTTTGCATCTTAACTGTCTTGATGTATGGAGAGATAGGAATCCTGGTAAAGTTCAGTTTACTTGGAGTAGTAAGGATGGTTCCAAACAATCCAGAATTGATTTCTGGTTATTATCTGAAGATTTAGTACAAAAAGTTTAAATTTCTGACAGTGTAAACAAAAAAAGCCTATGAAATGTTAAAAACATGGCTTTAAAATCTAATATTAAGTGAGTATAATTACTGATTATATTCTTTTAATAATTTAAATGATCAGTTTAGTTTAGATATATCGGTATCGATATCGACGATACTGGGCTTGAAAATATCGGTATCGGATCGAACATGTGACATGTTAAAAAGAAAAGCCTTTTTTTTTATATCTCAAGAAATTCAAGGCAGACTTTTACTTTTTGCAAGAGACTCATGCTTAAGGAACTGACTATACATTTTGGAGGAATCAATGGGGAGATGATCTTTGGCTGTCCTGCGCAAGCAGTAACTCTGCGGGTGTTGCGATTTTGAGAGGAATGTTTAAAGGGAAAATACTTAAAAGTAATGTACACTCATCTGGAAGATGGGTAATTTTGGTACTAGAGATAGAAGGTAATATTGTTATATTAGGTAACATTTATGGTTATAATAACAAACCTGAGAATCAAACTTTGTTGCAGAGTTTTGAAGAGGAGGTTTCAGGAATGTTGTCAAACTTTTCTAATGCTAGTTTGGTTTTGGGTGGAGACTGGAACACTATCAGTGATACTTTATTGGACTGTCTGCCCCCACGACATGTAAGACATCATTGTTATTACCTTATTAATCATTTATGTTTGCATCTTAACTGTCTTGATGTATGGAGAGATAGGAATCCTGGTAAAGTTGAGTTTACTTGGAGTAGTAAGGATGCTTCCAAACAATCTAGAATTGATTTTTGGTTATTATCTGAAGATTTAATACAAAAAGTTAAAGAAATTAAAATAATACCTTCCATTCTTACTGATCACAAAATTATTCATGTTATTGTTAGTTTTGATAGTTTGGCTGGAAAAAGATCAGGGTTTAATTATTGGAAGTTAAATAACTCTCTCCTTGAAAATTAACAATTTCAAAAAGCTGTTAACGATATTATAAAGGATTCTTATAGTAAGGCAAACACTGTAAAAAATGTCCTTGTAAATTAACGGTAATATACTGGCAGCAGGGTTTCCAGCAGTTTACCGTAATTTTACAGTTTTATTACTGTATTCTGAATTACGGCTTTTTTGTAATTTTACGGTAAAATGCTGGCAGCAGGATTTCCAGCAGTGTTCTGTAATTTTACAGTTTCATTTCTGTATTCTAGATTGTTGTTTTTTTCTCTTTAATTAAATGGTAGAACTAGCAATTTTGCCAATCATTAACTTTATTATAAATATCTGTACTTGAACAAATTCACAAACTGGCATTGTAATTTCATTTATACAAAAAAAGTGGCAGCAAATACACAGAAAAGAGAAGACCAAGAGGGTATTTCTTATAGCACAGTATTTAAGTGCCCAAGCAATAATTCAAATGCTTTCTCAAAAAAGTAATCAAAATGGAAGAATCAATTTGCAATCCAATGGAAGAATCAGTCTTTGTGCATGTTAGAGAAAGATGAGATGAAGAGACAAGAAAAATGAACCATAGCATTACAAAACAGACAATGTGCAAAATGAACCCTGCAGAAGTATGTAGACATATTTAAACCGATTTAAGTTGACTATATAACCACAAAACAAGCTGCCATTTAAGGTGTATCTGTGTGCTATGAGTATGACATAGCATGGGCATGGGCATGGGCTTGGAGTGTACGTTCCCCTAAAAACAGCCTTTCAGAAATGGCAAACAACTTCTGAACAACAATCTTATTTTGGTGTAATAAAAGTCAAAACCTGGTAAGGATTTGCAGAACAGTCCAAGAACGTTTCAGAAACATAAAACTGTCACCAACTCTGATGCAAGTGTAGCCAGGGACGGGTGTAGTCTGAAACAAACATTGAAAAAAATGCTTTGCAAGTTAAAATAACATCAAAAGAATGTCAAAAGAACATGACAAAAAGCAACATATAATACTACACAAACATTTCGGTAACTTAGGGCCCTATGATTTCAACGATGTGGAAAACACGGACAGAATCACCGAATCCAGTCATGAAAACGGAATTAGTCAAATTTTGGATGAATACATTAAAATAGTGTTGTACACCTACTGAAATCGCGATGTGGATTAGTGTAGGTGAATATTAAACCGCAAAAAGACTATTTAAATATTATTACTGCATGTTCTGTGTGTCTCTGTGTGAATGAATGGCGCAGACGCGTGGTTTTGTTTACTACAAACATACTGAAGCACACGTGATGCTTGTGGTGTTTTCAGCGCCCGTTTTCTCACCATATGATGACAGGAATACATGATCTTCACATAAGAGCTTCTTTGAAAGCCACTTTACCAGCATTTTAGTTTTATTTGTGAAAAACTAGCGTCATTTCATGTACACACACACACAAAAAAAAAATCTAGCTTCTCATCAACCCTTCAAAATAAAAGTTTGGTCTAATGTGAAGTAATTGTGACAGAAATATATCACTATTGTACAGTAGAATATGTCGTTTTCAAAGTAATATAATAATAAAAATAACAATTATAGTAATAATAATAATAATTAAAAAATTATGTTTAAGGAATAATTACACAATTGTTCTTCCATGTTTTAATTGTACAATTATAGATATTTTATTTCTAAAATTGTAAACAAAAAAGGCCTATGAAATGTTAAAAACATGGCTTTAAAATCTAATATTAAGTGAGTATAATTACTGATTATATTCTTTTAATAATTGAAAAGATCAGTTTAGTTTAGATATATCGGTATCGATATCGACGATACTGGGCTTGAAAATATCGGTATCGGATCGAACATGTGACATGTTAAAAAGAAAAGCCTTTTTTTTTATATCTCAAGAAATTCAAGGCAGACTTTTACTTTTTGCAAGAGACTCATGCTTAAGGAACTGACTATACATTTTGGAGGAATCAATGGGGAGATGATCTTTGGCTGTCCTGCGCAAGCAGTAACTCTGCGGGTGTTGCGATTTTGAGAGGAATGTTTAAAGGGAAAATACTTAAAAGTAATGTACACTCGTCTGGAAGTTGGGAATTTTTGGGACTAGAGATAGAAGGTAATATTGTTATATTAGGTAACATTTATGGTTATAATAACAAACCTGAGAATCAAACTTTGTTGCAGAGTTTTGAAGAGGAGGTTTCAGGAATGTTGTCAAACTTTTCTAATGCTAATTTGGTTTTGGGTGGAGACTGGAACACTATCAGTGATCCTTTATTGGACTGTCTGCCCCCACGACATGTAAGCCATAATTGTTATTATCTTATTAACGAATTATGTTTGCATCTTAACTGTCTTGATGTATGGAGAGATAGGAATCCTGGTAAAGTTGAGTTTACTTGGAGTACACTTGGAGTCCAAACAATCCAGAATTGATTTTTGGTTATTATCTGAAGATTTAATACAAAAAGTTAAAGAAATTAAAATAATACCTTCCATTCTTACTGATCACAAAATTATTCATGTTATTGTTAGTTTTGATAGTTTGGCTGGAAAAAGATCAGGGTTTAATTATTGGAAGTTAAATAACTCTCTCCTTGAAAATTAACAATTTCAAAAAGCTGTTAACGATATTATAAAGGATTCTTATAGTAAGGCAAACACTGTAAAAAATGTCCTTGTAAATTAACGGTAATATACTGGCAGCAGGGTTTCCAGCAGTGTTCTGTAATTTTACAGTTTCATTTCTGTATTCTAGATTGTTGTTTTTTTCTCTTTAATTAAATGGTAGAACTAGCAATTTTGCCAATCATTAACTTTATTATAAATATCTGTACTTGAACAAATTCACAAACTGGCATTGTAATTTCATTTATACAAAAAAAGTGGCAGCAAATACACAGAAAAGAGAAGACCAAGAGGGTATTTCTTATAGCACAGTATTTACCAGCAGTTTACCGTAATTTTACAGTTTTATTACTGTATTCTGAATTACGGCTTTTTTGTAATTTTACGGTAAAATGCTGGCAGCAGGATTTCCAGCAGTGTTCTGTAATTTTACAGTTTCATTTCTGTATTCTAGATTGTTGTTTTTTTCTCTTTAATTAAATGGTAGAAATTTGCCTATTTTTAAAGATAGTGGAGTGTTCCTTTAAGGTGTGTCTGTGTGCTAGGAGTATGACATAGCATGGGCATGGGCTTGGGGTGTACGTTCCCCTAAAAACAGCCTTTCAGAAATGGCAAACAACTTCTGAACAACAATCT